TTCTGGCTCAATCACGCGGCATTTCATTATTTTCTTGGGTCATCACAACACCCATTTTCTTACCTCTAAGCCTTCCTAGGCAACCTCTTGATCGTCCTAGTCTGGCCTCTGGCCTGTATCACCCTATAGTCATGTGCAGTACAACTAGATACACCTACAGTTTCTGCGGCTGCACCAGTACCGTAATCTATCACTGCAAAAATGCGGCGCGAAACCACATCGAGGTCGGCAACTGCAGGAAACATTATGAACAGGATGTGACAAGACATGGATTGTGCACGCAATGCGTAAAGACTAGTTATCTTGGAATAAGCACACACTCTCGACTATTTTGCTTTGGTGATGGGAGGGTAACGGACAGGCGACATACATAATGATAAAAAACCTTGTGGTTAGTTGATAGACGTCTGGGCCTGAGGATAAAGCTGAATTTATCAAGGTTGCTTTCAGAAGACATTAATACTTATCGTTCTGAGAGTTCCGGAAAGTTCACCGCCGTATACTTTGCCAATTCTCAAACACGACAACATTCTGAAAAGATTACGCAAAAGTTGGGGTGGTCCTTCTTGCTGAAGCAAAGCCGCAAGTACTATGTACACTTCAAACTTGGAAACGCATTCTGGCACTTTTCCCAAAAGCCCAGAAATACGTAGCTATAATTGGGTAATGGACACAAATATGGAGCTCTGTTAAACAGATGAAAAACACAACATATATATTCCAAGCTACAACGAAGTGATAAGGACCAGAAGATTGACAAAATCGGGGCTAAGCAACCTCAGGAGAGAGAAAGTGCAAACTGTTCAGCCCTTACGGCATCCCGAATCTACTACTAAACCAGATGACTAAATCGTAAGTCGCAAATCGTAAAAGTCACTTTATGTAGGAGGGAGAGCCAAAGAACAGAGTTATTACTGAGTAGTCTATCAAATTTGTAGTATTTTATTATAGGTTCTTTACTATAACCCTCTCACGACCTCTTTTCTCACCCCCTCCACTATTTTCGTATAAGGTCCCTCGCGAGTCACGTGTCGCACACGTGCTATATCCCCATATTCTTTACCCCCTAGGGACCCCCCTCCCCTACCCCTTTATACTCCATCTTACTCTAGCTGTCGTATACTCGCTATTGTAAAGGTTTGTCGTAAAGAAAGAGAAGAGAAAGTAGGAGGGGGAGAGAGGACAGGCAAGTAGCAAACAATTGTTAGCGTAACACGTGCTAGCCTAGCCTCTTTAGGAAGGTAGTATAAGGGGCTGGGAATAAGCGACACGCACGAAAATATTTCCCCGCTTCTGTCCCCTCCGCTGCCCTCTCTCTCTCTCTCTCTCTCTCTCTTCTAAACAAAATACTAGGACACAACCCTTATACGATAGCGAGGGTGCGATAGCGAGGGTACAACAGTAAGGGTATAACGGCGAGGTTACAATAGCGAGGTTACAATAGCGAGGGTATAACAGCGAGGGTATAACGGCGAGGGTACGACAGCGAAGGGGGACGACAGCGAGGGTGGCGAGTGTGCACGCGAAAATTTCAAGGCTGTGAAGTTTGAGCGAGGGTGGGGTTGTGGGGGTATAGGTACAATANTTCTCTCGAGGGTGGCGAGTGTGCACGCGAAAATTTCAAGGCTGTGAAGTTTGAGCGAGGGTGGGGTTGTGGGGGTATAGGTACAATAGTAGGTAGCAGGAGTAAATATAAGACTTTTGCGATTTGCAATTTGGTCATCTGGTTTAGTAGTAGATTCGGGATGCCGTAGCCCTGTTGTTGGCGGCACCGATACCAATTTGATAGAATCGTTTAGTTACCTTTATGAACTTTTATTGGGTTGAAAGGGTATTGGGTACTGAAGGTCATGGAGAATTGATTGCATTGTAAAAGGTAGCTATCTAAGGTGTTTATATAAAGAGTGTAAGGTTTATGCAGACATGAAGCATTTAGGCAGCAGAGCTATAAGTGGATCAAATCAGGAAGTGGAGCAAAAGAGAAAGTAGACCCAGCACAACAAATTTGAATACCGATTTCTACAAGTAATCTTGTTCTTGCTTTTTGTGAACAACACGTCAATCTATTGAAGACGCTTCTCTCTATCTACAAGCTCCTGGATGTAATTGAATCCTGAATATTAACTCTCACCTACAAGAACTAGTCACTGGTATTCTAAACAAAGAGGTAGACAATGGAACAAGGAAACAAGATTTTGATTACGCGAAAACAATAGTTTGTCCTACCAACGGCGCGCCGGCGGAACAAATTAGAAACAGCAACATCATAGAGCTATACCTTCTAGCGCCAAATCTTGAAATTGGATATTTTCGCCACCCAAAAACAGCTCCCATTTCACAATGTGCGCTACAAAATTTCACCAATTTCAGCTCTGCGGACACATCCAGAAGTGCCCTATGGAAAGATGTGTTTATGGGAGCTTCCATCCCTACTTGGACCCCGTAAAGTACTGTCCATGGCATCGTGAGGTTACAGCATTGCGCTACAAAAAATGTGACGCTTGTTTGGCACAAGAAGCCAAGGAAGATGCACGTTCAAGTCGTCGTGGTAGGGTTCCCAGTGATGGCGGCCACATCACTGACCAAGATTAAAAGCACTACATCCACATTTCTGGATAGACTTTTTGGTCATAGCACGAGTTACCGCCAGCAAGAGCCGTCGAATAAGATCAGAGAACCTATTGCGGTCTCCGTCGAGGAACAAAAAGCTGCGAAAGAAGCTGAAGTTCGACGAAGGAATGCAGCGAGAATTGCAGCTCTAGTCGGGCTTGAATTCTGGGGGGGGCTGGATCGGATTGAGCCCCCGTATTACCATTGAAACAGCGTGAAAGTATCACCGGGTATTTCTGAGTGCCCCCAACTCCATCGAGCTAAGCGAGGTCCTCCTTTTTTTTGCTTTTTTTTGCTTTTTGAGATCCTTTCGACTCGTTCGCTGGAACGGCGAGATCAACGCATCAACTTTACTTTCTCCTATTAGCATTGTCTTCCAAAAGGTTATGTTATTCCTTTTGATTGTTTTAAAAGTATGGCCTAATACTTTCTTGGGAAGGTTGGCCCACAAACTTTGAGCACCGCCATCCTAGAAATAGAGTCTGGTCATTTCTTTTGTTTGCCATTTTGATTTGTGGAGCTCCGGATTTTTGGTTTTGAAATTTACGAATCTGGGAGCAAAGGAAGAAACAAAAAAAGATCGAGCGGTTATCTTATAAACAGCTGGCTGTTTTATTTACTAACCCCTTAGCCACTTATCAAAATAAAAATACAGTACCTCCCTTAACACCATTGAAACTCTTGAACCTTGTGACTATCAACTCGCTCATTCTGTTTCTTCTCCCTTGCTAGCTCACTCGATTATCCCAGAGGTGGGTAGAGGGTATCTGAATGTGGAGTGACTCACTAGATTGTTAAAATAGATTACATAGAATTGCATACCCACACACATTCACTTCTTTACTCCTGTGAATTGGAGGAAGTCCAGCAACAGTTCTGGTTGCTAGAGTGCCAGTAGTAGTTGTAACATGTAAAATAATGTGAGCGTTTCATGAATATTAAGTAGAAGACTATAAGAGACGTGGTTATTACTTCACAAACATCTGCTTGGAGTCATATTATACTAAAAGCCTTGTGCAATTAAAAGAGTTATAGAGATAATTCGGAATAATTATTGATCTTGTATTCTATTGAAATACATACGCCAAGACAATTACATTACTTGAACTTGACGTGTAGTATAACTTTTTATTGTGCCTATAGTGTAAGTACCAGCTCTCTTACCAAATTCCCTTCTCTCTGGAGAAATATCCCGATTTTTCTTACATTTTGACAGGTCCTCCACTTCATAGTCATCCTCCGTTAAGAACAGTTCTGCTTCAAGATAGGAAACGCTCATAAGAAAGAGTAACGAATCCGCATAGCACCCTGTCAGTCGACCCAAGATCCTGGCATCACCGCATTCCCCTTCCCTTGTTCAATCATTTTCCAAAATTTGCCAGCGAATCTATCTGTTGGTTAATTTCAATATAAAACCCAATCATCAGGCTCGGGACCAAATTTAAAACCCGTCAAGGAGGGTATTAATAAATGATCAAGGGAAAAGATCCATCCACCGAATGTTTCGAAGTTGCTTGATAGTTGCGCCCCTTTTTCTTCTTCTCCGTATTTCGCAAGGCCAACATCAAAGGACTTCAAGGAAGCAAGCCAATAATCGCGCAATAGAACAGTCAGCTGCGTCATATTTATCTTTCTGGGATTATCACCCATGAATTTGGTGGGAGCGGATATAAGGTTGTGAACACCCCAATGGAACCCCTGGAATACTCGTTGAAGAGAGGTTAGTTGGAAACTATCAACGCTCGTCAAAGAAATGCCTTGTAGTATTAAATCTTGTGCAATCGAGAACCAATCCCAAAGACAAGCAGCCGGGCACAAATATCCATACTCTAGTGGACAATCGAGAGCCACAAAAGCAAACGTAAAGCCAACAGCTCGTGCAATGGAGTGGAGTGGTGAACCTGTTGTTGGGTTCCTAAGGAGTTTTTCACCGAGGGCCAATCTGAAGATCTCTGGTGTGACCAAGAAAGGCTTGTATGACAAGCCTTCTGTTATATGGGTGCGATAGGCGGCCTCTTCCATGAACAAGGGATCTATATTCCTCAAGAGAAGCGAAAATAGCCAAGACGGTCCACTGAAGTGTTTCAAGGTATTCAGAGATACCTCGCACTTAGGAATGACCATGTTCGCTAGACTCTCTAAATCGCTGGTGGGATCTTTCCCTTGTGCTACATGGTTTTCACTGGCCGCAATTGCTAAGTAATCTATTGGAGCCTTAATACTGTAATCAATAACCCATGTGGGAGTTTTGAGAGGGCTACCAGCCTAGATACTCACAAGTGGTTAGGATGGCGACTACCATAGTACGGAGTTTCTGCTAGACTGGCTCCTTCAGACATCAGAAATTTACACATGTCATAATCCCCCCGGCTTAGCCCCATCTATGAGAGTCAGACCTCAATAAATGCTAGAAGATTGAATTGACCTGCCTCTAATAAGGATTTCGTTGATGGCAACAGTAACAGCCCAAGTGGGGTCGTTTCGTAATATTCACAACAAGTCGTGAAAGGGGTAGCCTTGCCCTCAGAGAAAAGATTTTGAAGACCTGCAATATTCCCTTCCTCTGCAAACCTAACCACTCGAGAGTCGCGAGATACGACAGCATACATAGACATGGTAAAGTTCCATTCTTGACAGGATTTCATAATCGCCAAGTCCCAAGCATGACCTAAGAGTAAAGAATAATTCTTCCAGCGCGAAGTAAAGTGACCTTTTGCTGTCGAAGAAGAGTTTGCGCGCATTCTTGTGTTATTAGGTAACGGATTATTCTCTGAATTACCACCAGAAACTAGTACAAGATTCTCCGAGGTACTCGTCGAAATGGTTGAACTATTTGAGCCATTTGCGATGTAATGATTTCAGGCTGAACTTGTATCAGAGACCTGGAAGTAGAGCTTAGCCCATAGTGTCCAAGGATGTTTGAAGAAAGCGTTTAATATTAAAGGAATGATAACTTATCGTACTTTGTATATATCTGATAAGAAGGGTTTAGAAGCCTCACAGTAGCGGCAAGCTCAGCTCTATACCTCACAAGCTTATCCTTCTTCCAAACAAACTTCACCGATACGGTTTTGTGTCTGAGTGACTTAGCACTCTTGAAATCGAGAGCTATCTCATCAACAAGACGCTGCAATCGGTCAACGCCTCGTTTGCAGTTGTTCAAACATCGTGAAAGTGACTTGCTTCCAGCAAGTATTTCCGAGTGAGGATATCGTGCTTGGTCGTCCTCAATATCGGAAAGTAAGAGTTGGAGATCCTCGATTTCCTCCACCATGATCCTGATATCCTCAGGCGCGTCTTTGACCTGGTCGATGTATGATTTGAGTTTCAAGACACTTGAAGCTATCTGACCCGCGAAAGCCGCAATGCTCATACCACTGGCTACGGCGCCAATAATTTCAGCCATCGTGGTAGGAGTTCACAATACAAGACTGATAAGAATATAGCTCAATGAAAGGTTTTCTGTCAAAACGGCGGAAGAAGGTGTTTGTTGATTCAGCCTTGTGCAAAAACGCCCTGTAACCTGCCTTCAGCTGCAGCTCATTAATCATGTGCAACACAAATATCTCTGGATCAACATCCACCAATAAATTAAGAGGACCTGTGGAACCAACATGCGTGGCAGGTGATCATCAACGGCATTTTCCAGCTTACCTTTCACAGTATATGATATTCTAAAGAACATGTGTTCGCGTGATTTGTTAAAATGTTGAGCATATAAGGTCCACCAATGACAGAGAGATATGTCGCCCTTCTGCGTACTTTTTACACTTTGTGGGCTTGAAGCTGAGATCTTGGGCCCTGAAACTGATTAGGACTACCTTAATCAACACGTGATGTTTATATCTTCCAGGTTGAACTAAGATGTTGTTTGCCTAGTAAAGTAAAGCTCACCAGCGTTCGAAGTGAGTTGAGTTGAGTTGAGTACTACTTCAGTAGTACGGAGTCGGTCGGGCCGAGTATTTTACGACCGGTCCGACCATTCGGAATTAGCCCACCCCTCTATAAGCTATATTTAAAAATTCCGGAATAGGCGATAATAGGCTTAAATCCCTAATATTCGATTACTTGAGTACTACTCGAGAGTCGAGTAGTCAAATCTACTACTCAACTCAACACAACCAGATCTACTACTCATACTCACTTCAACTCAACTTGAGTAACTTTAAATAGTACTTAAATTGTCAAGTAGTTCTTTCGGACGCTAAAGCTTACCTCCATTGTAAGTCTAGGTTAGAAACGTTCCTCTGGAACAAAGTAGATATAGACAATAAAAACAGAAGTCCTCGTACCTCTTACCTCTCGACTTACTGCTATATCAAGCTATACATAGTAGCACAAATATGAAACCTAGTCATTACTCTATATGTATGATAAGAACGATGTCTAGTACAAGTAGTACAACTGTCTTACTATACGCAGGTCAATAAAAAACAAAAACCAATAACCAATGATCATTCTAATGATGAACCGTTTACGCCACCGAATTACTTACCCCAGGCATCTAGAAAAACATTATTCCAATCCTACGAGTAGTTTTAATAGATTACAATCCGTGTCGCTTCTATACTAGTATAAAATAAACCAAGGAACAAGCTATGAGCCTATGAAATAGTATTCTAAAACGAAGGGGGAAAGAAACCTCAACCTCCACCATCCATTCTATTCCTCAAACACTAAAAAACAAAAAGGAAAATATCAACCTAAATAAGCTACGACTAACATTACAACACTTAAAACAAATTTACCCCCTTCCATAGAATAAACATCTTCATATATAAAGATTTCATTAGTAAAAGTTAATATATTAGTATACCCTCCCTCCCCCAAGAAGTCCCGAAAGAAACGCCCTCCCAGCTATACTTCCCAAAAGTAGTATCATTCCCAAGAACAACCCTCTACCCTCTACCCTTACTTACCCTCAACCTTTACTTATCCCCATGACCCCTATCCCCCTCTACCCTCTACCCTCATATCCCCCATTTCCACCCCCCATCAAAGAAAAGCCACCTTCCACCTAAAACCCCTTCACTCCCACTCCCACTCTCCCTCTCATCACTATCACCTCCCCATCCACATCCCGCCAAGCCAATTTTCGAATTTAGCGAAACCCCTGCAGTAGATGCGAAAGAAAAGAAGAAAAAAGGAAGAAAAAAGGGGAAAGGGGAAGGGCGAAAGAACCGAACAAGAAGCAAAAAGCGAAAAAAAGGAGAACCCATCGAGGTAAGAATTAGATATATAATACTCTAAAAACCCAACCCCCAACCCCCAACCCCCGACGCCCAGACGAATCCTCGATCTGTACCTCCTGTCTGAGCTCTCTCCTAGGACAGAGGACATTCCAGTACAGTAGGAACCCCCACGTCCAAAAGCCTTAAGAGAGAATACCCATCAATACACCATCCATACTCATACTCATCCTCATCCATCCTCACACCCATACAGTACTCATACAACAGTACCCACAACTCCCCCCAAACAAACCCAGATCCCCTAAACAAAACAACCCAAGCCCCTCGTCATCCCATTGCACCACAAACCCTCCATCCCAAACAACTCTCCTCTCCCTCTCAAGTTCTTGTCTTCCTGTAACCTGTAAAAAAGACAAAAAACACACAGTCCAGACCCGGAAGCATCAAAGTAAGACCATTCCAGAAAGGGGGTTTAGAGAAACTTTGTATAGATTCCTCCCTCCCTCCCTCCCGCACAGGAGTACTGGATTGTCCCTTCAGAACCAAAGCAGAGCAAAGAAGATCCAGAGACACGTCCGCGGACACGGTCATAAACTCCATTAGTACAAGTACAAAGTACAAAGCANTCCCTCCCTCCCGCACAGGAGTACTGGATTGTCCCTTCAGAACCAAAGCAGAGCAAAGAAGATCCAGAGACACGTCCGCGGACACGGTCATAAACTCCATTAGTACAAGTACAAAGTACAAAGCACAAGTATACAAGATTAGTAAACATCCCATCTCGCAAACCCAACCTAACCTAACCCAACCTCCACCCACCCACCCAATCATGCCAATCTAACCCAACCTATCCTAGCCTAGCCCTCCCACCACCCCGACTAATCCGACCACTCCGACCCAACTCAACTTAAATAACCGCAATCCCGCCTAGCCCGTCCGGCCCTCCCACACACACTCACACACTTTACACAGTATTCCCGTANAATCCGACCACTCCGACCCAACTCAACTTAAATAACCGCAATCCCGCCTAGCCCGTCCGGCCCTCCCACACACACTCACACACTTTACACAGTATTCCCGTACACCGCACTGATATCGTATCAAGAGGACCAATGAAATCAAATCACCGCGTGCCCGTCCTGCCATTCGTTGACCGAGTACAGTACATACCAGCCACACCACACAATCTCTCCTTCCAACACAAACACAAACACCGACAACCAAAGCCCTACCTATTATTTCCACGTTCGACACTACTTAATCAGCCACAATGCCATACTACTGGTATACACAGACCTTCCTCTCACACACACACCACAACCCAACTCTTCCAAACTTCCCGTCAGAAAGAAAGGAAAAAGAGAAGGAAAAGGTAAAAAAGAAAGAAATCAGATAAACCGCGGGGACCCGGACATCCTCGATCCGACATCGTAGGTAGCAGGTGGCGAACAAAAACACACAAAACCAAAACCCAAAAAACCTTAAAAAAGAAAAAGAAAAGAAAGAACACCCCCTTTTTGGATTACTGAACAAAAACAAACAAAGCGGTGACGGGCCTGACGGAAACCCGGAAAGGAAGAGCCCATCAAGACACAAAAAGAAGAACTCCACTATATTAGCGAGACGACTACGATTCGGAGAAAAGGGGGGTAAAAAGAGAGGGTGGGGCATAATACTCGTCCGCTCCCAAAAGCTTCACTGGATTACGTATCGTGCCCAATCATCGTCAAGGAAGAGCTACGAGTAGCGCGGCTTGACACAACCTTACCTAATAACTGTAACATCAGTACCACACTGTAAATGTACCTGGACCTTCCTGACTCACCTTACCCACCACGTGCACGCGTAACACGTGTACAGTATATCAGATACGCCATACATATGTAAATAAAGTATCCCATACACACCGCACTTCCAACCAGAATTTTAAACTCAGCAGGATGGCGCAGCAATTCGGTCGGAACTTGGAAAGTATGATGAGAGAAGAGTTGCGGTGTAATTGAGGGTTTATGATGAATGGTCAACCAGCACTGGAGTAGGAAGGTATCCAGCAGCACATGTGAATATACTTCAAACTCAAGGCTTACTTGTATACGGACGTTGGCCGGCCCTGGATTCAAGCAACGAAGTGCGGTGTGTAAACTATGAAGGGATATTATAAACGCAAAGACGTTCTGATGGCTGCCGTATCCCTGATCTAAAACGACGGGAGACAAGGAAATCGCTACCGGAATTATCAGCGGGAGAAAATAAGCTTATACTTTGAACAAATCGTTAACATCTGACGATGGTGTTGCGTACCAGAACCTCCAAAAAGAATCAAAAAAACGTAAAGTACAACTCCGCACTTCGGATGACTTTGTACCATCGTTCACCGATCGAGCTTATACTGTACAGTAGTGTGCTATGCGAAAAAGCCTGTGCTAACCAACATCACTTGACGCTCTCCTGAAACTTTCCTTGATGTACGTTGTATGCCATTAAACGTTCTGTTCGTCGCTTTTCAAGGGTTGAAACACAGAACCTTGTCGAATCCAGTTCAGCAACATTCTAGAAAACGCGTGAGAGAAAGTCAAAAAAATGCTTACACTCGACAACAATACGGAGGAAAAAGGTCGTGGGAAAAGAGATGGTATTGTGCTAAAAGTAGAAATATGGCTGGTAAAAGTTCGGTAAATGATGCTAGGGAATATACGAAAAATTTAGAGTGCTTGCGGCTGCAAAGAAGCAGACCGTATTTGGGTTGAGGCTTAGGACACAAGGTTTATGTCAAAAGGAAAACGGTGAAAGCTCCGGAAAAGAAGACGCAGTGTAACTGGGTACAGTACTTGTGCTGATGCAAAGTCAAGTTGAATAACTCTGGGGTACCACTACAAAATCATTTCAATCCTGTCGTGCGGGATTCGCGAAGACTTCAAAGCGATCCACGAGACATTTCGATGTTGGCCTGCTATCGGTGATTTGCGCAGTTCCCAATCGCCTGGGGTAAGAACGGTAGCACTGTGCTTTCCGGGTATAACGGCCACACCACTTGTAGGTGGCCGATCGACCAAGATCTCATAAGACAAGCAAAGACTTGATTATCCTTCGTGGTCTTGTTTGGAAGGCCACTACCAATGACCATCGGCAGTGGCTTGCTCCGCAGCTCGGTCTCTTCAGCCTTGTGTAGACTGAATGACTGAGGCATCCACGTCGCAAAGATTTGGCGAATTGATATTGTTCGCAACCTCCTCTAGATAGTATCTCGAAGATGTGGAGCTGCAAATTGACAGATAGCGATTGCCGTGGATCATTTTATGGGAAGTCCGAGTACTTCCAAGAGAGCACCCCACCAGATGTTCTTGGATATCGAGACTCAATTGAGGCTTCATACCCAGAACCAGTATTTGGAATATTCATCGGCCTTGTTTTCTGCAAGTCTTCATGGGGCGGTGAACGGCTTGTGCGTAAGGTTGAACTCTCATGATTACTTGTTGTTTTCCCAAGGGGAGATAAGGTGCTGGCTGTCCTTAACTTCCAGTCCAGCCCTAGGCTCGCTCGACTGTGTTCCGCCGTAGCTTCGAGGTGGACAACTGTCATGCCTTCGATTGCTAGTGCTCGCTGATGATTCATGTTGAAGGGAGGTTCGGAAGCCGGAGGCGTGCCTGTAGAGATAAATAAGGCCTATTTGTTGTTGTGGAAAGTCTAAAGGACCCACTTGGCGCAGGGTGTGGGGAGCCGGACTCGATTGCGAGGGGAATGTTGTGCTGAAGTTTGTATATTTTGGATAGCGTGAGGCTAACATAGTCAAAGGCGCTAGACGTGCTAAAGTAGAGCCAAGTACTGATGCCCGAGGACCCACCGCGCCTCCGTCGACTGCACGCCATCCAGGATCCCCTCGACGGGCGAGGCTCACGAAGTATGGCAAGTGTTGGTTCCAGGTTTCTTTGGCAGATACCGGTATTCTCCCTGGACGATGAACAACGTCTCCGCGGGTGCTCTGTCATACTGTACAGTAGAGATCGGGCGTTGTCGAAGTAGTACTAGTAGCGGTAGTAGTAGCGGTAGCGGTAGAAGGGAGAAGGGAGAAGGGAGAGGCGAGCAGCGGTCTGCCTGTCATGTAGGCCATGTTGAAGTAGGCTTTACCTCGGTCTGTGTTGTTGAGATGTGCCATAGCGACGTAATAGACGTTGTATTGTACGCTTTAGGCGTGCGTATAGTACAGTGCCAGTCGCAGCAGTCGCAGCAGTCCCAGTACGAGTACTGGCTTAGGATGAGGACTGGCTTGCTGGTGAAGTAGTCAACACAGCGGCAGCGGTCGAGGTAGCTTTTTGATCTAGCGGATTAGCTCCTAGCTCATAGCCATAGGCAAAGGCAAAGCCATAGCCATAGCCATAGCCATAGCTCGTAGCTCGTGGCTCGTAGCTCATACGAAGTAGCAAAGACGTCCTCCTGGAATTATTTCCGGGCGGTACTGTAGAAAGAAGATGGAGGTGGAGATGGAGGTGTACGGGAGGTGGACATTCCAGGGGAAACTCGAAGGATGATACTGGCATTCGCGATGCTCTCTCACTCTCATTCTCACCACCTCGATGGTGGACCTATTCCCTCGTCCACAAACCACGCTTCAAGGGCGAATGGGTAAAGAACAAGGCCCGTCTAGCCAGGCGGCTTTGTGCCGCACAATACCCCGTGGTGTCCCGAGTACGTGATATATGTACTCATCGCGATGGGGGTGTGAGTGTTGATGGAGAAGAGTTGGATGCCATGGATGCGTAACGTACTTCATAAGGAGTCCGGATTTATAAGCAGTCCGGATCTTTTACCCCACCATCCAACTTTTAAAAACCATAGAACTTTAACCACTTATTATTTATTTATATAAACTATACTATCTTTCTTATTCTCGATCTGGGCACCTAGGAGCAGTATGCGCTAGTGATCTACATATAATACAGGTTCGTGGTGCACGAATTCGTGGTTCAATTAGCGGGGCCACAGCTTCATCCAAAACCATATTATCACTATTTTGAATAAGTTCCCTCCCTTCCTGACCTGTAAGAACACCCCCAGTAGCAATATATTGACGTCGCACAGTCTTCTTCTTCTTTTGACGTTCAGATTCAGCTCGTAAACGTCGATTTTCCTCTGCCAAAACCGTAGCTGATTGCATAGCCATCTTACACCCTTTAACCAATTGATCTAATGCAATAGCAGTAGGGCTTGAGAGAACGTTTGTACGTCGTTTAATAGATGCTTTAATTGTCTGGGTTTGCTGATCTGCCTCATATGTATTATGGGGTGTCTCAGGGACCCAAGGTAGTAGGTTTGGAGAAAGTAAAGGAGGAGTAGGCGTATGTAATTGAGTATGTAATTTACTCAATACTTGATCTGGGTTGTACGGGACAAGGCCAGTAGTTGCGAATCCATTACAGATTGTGTTTTTGACCATAGTACTTGTACGGGCTACACGATATATTGAAAGGAAGTCTGGTTTATCGATATGATATGTGCCGGCTCGTACTAGCTCCTCGACTCCTCGTCCATAAAGTCGCTTTAAAACTGCAAAGCAACTAACATCTAATGGCTGTAAAAGATGAGATGAGTGCGGTGGCATACAAAGCGTTATGATGTTATGTTCTGAACAGAAAAGATCGAATTCGGGAGTAGAATGACTACCATGGCCATCGAGGATTAAAAGTCGATATACTCCTTTTACACGGTCCTTGGTATATTTCTCAAATACGTCTGAAAGCCACTTAAGACCTAAGGAATCATTGGTCCACCCTTTATCACTAAGTGCAATTGTCCAATCTGCTGGTAATTGATCTGTATACCAAGTCGATATATGCACCTTGCCCTCAAATATAACCATTGGAGGCAACACCCATCCATCTGCACAAATTGATTCGACAACTGTAACCCATTCGCGATTCCCTGGTTGTATATGAATAGCCCGTCCTGTATATTCTGACCCTGTAACAACTTTTGCGGTCGCAATTACTCCCATCTGAAAGCCAGTCTCGTCGAAATTGTATATATCCTCCGCTAGTATACCATATTTCGCAACAATATTATGTACTAATCGAAACCAATCTCGGATAATCGTAGGATCCTCGCATTTTGCGCGCTTATAGTCGTATTTACGAGTGTATTTCGTCCGTAAAGAGTCGTGGCGCTTTATAAAGTTGTCAACCCAGCATTTTCCGACAATAATTCGACCTACTCCAGTTCGCTTTTCCAGTAGTAAATCGGCCATTTGGCGTATCGAATCTTTCCGTACTGGCAGACCTCTAGCTTCCATTGATAACATCCATTGTATAAGTGCTGATTCCTCGAGGTCGGTGAGTTTCTGGTTTCGGGGTCGGAAATCGCGTTGTGGAATAGCTCCCTTGACGCGGTCGTAAGTAGTAGAATATGGCGCATCGTACCTTGTACAAGCTGCTTTTAAGCTTGTAAATTGACCCTTATTGTATGCACTGATTGCAAGAGCAATTTGACCTTCTTTTCGAGACATTTGAACAATAATTGGGTAAGTTATGTAGATTGAAAGTGTGTAGGGTGGTCAATGGTGGGGTAAAAAATCCGGACTGCTTATAAATCCGGACTCCTTATGAAGTACGTTACCGGTATCAGCACCAGCATTACCATCAACACCTGACCTGGTCACTGCTGGGAAAGGAAAGGCGCGCCGTGCAGTGGCCAGTCGGAGTGTGGAAAGCTAGGCCCTAACCTAAATTTACCCAGCCGTAGCGTAGCCATAGCGTAGCCATAGCGTAGCCATAGCGTAGTCGTAGCCGTGCTGGAAGGTACTTGTACGAGTTCAGTCCAGTCCCAGTACCTACGAGCCTACCTAGGTACGGAGGTACTTAGTCCAGTACCAGTACCTACCTAGTCCAGTAAACTACTTCGGAGTATTAATCATTAGCCCTAGCCTCGCCACGTCAAATGAGCAAGGGAGCCTGTCCTGTCAGGCCCCAGTAGCAGTAGCTCCACCAGCCCCGCGCATGCCCGCGCTGTCCCGCGGGCATCAACTCACGGGTTGTGCTCACGCTCAGTACTCCACTGAGTACTCTCGCAGCTCGCTCCACTCACTTAGCCTCTCGCCTCGCGCCTAGATCCCAAGCTGTCCCTTCCATCTGCCTACGGAGCTACTCCGTATACAGACCCAACTAGCAACTGAAGCAATGTACGCAGGTATTAGCTTCCTTTTTAGCCTGCTAGCGCGCCAGCCCACCACCCCACCGCCCTACCTACTATCGCTGGTAGCTTAGGGTTAGTAGCGCCACTGCCCCCGATATCTGCACGCCCCCGTCGCCGATGGCCCACCTGCAAATGGCGGGTCTCAGCCATGACACTGCTCTAGTGCCATACTAGAGTCTATAGAGATTTATTCAAAACCCAAAACCTCAAAACAGCCCTGGGTGACTGGGTCTAAGTCTTGAAGATCCAGGAAGTGTCCCCACTCTGCCTGTCCCCTTCGTGTCAGTGCCGTTGGATAAGTCTTTTATACACGGCATGCTTCTATGCTTCGATGCTTCGCTACAAACAAATCTCGACTCGACTCCTCCACCACTAGCCGACAGACAAATTACAAGATATAGTCGGACAAACATCACCACTACCATACCACTACCATACCACTCTGATTCTCAGCTGTCATCTGTTCCACCTCCAATTGCACAAATATAGCATCCCCATCCCCTCCCCATCTCCTCTCCAGCACATCACTGCGGATTCAGAATCAGAACCAGAAACTCAACCTGAACCTCAACCTCGACCTGCAGCACAAATCACTCTCTCGTACTACTACCGATACCACTAGTACCAGCTGCCCCAATCCCCAATTCCCAATCTCCAGACCCCCTCATCATCAATCCACCCACCGGACCACTAGACCGGCACATCCTCCCCTACCCCATCCCCTCGTCCTGCCCACCAGCACTCACTCCACCCACTTCAACCCGACGAGACCCCAATTCTCCGCAAGCGACGTGGTGCGTGTGAAGAAAGGGTGGATTCCATAACCTCTCCCAAGATCCAGACCATGATTCATGAATCCTACAACATGCCTACAGCAGCAGTAATCGACACCATGTCCGCGCGAAGCTCAATCAGTCCAACTGCAATGGAAGAAGAGGAGCCGCGGAAGAAAGGTTAGTGGAGCAACTCCAGATTCAGGTCGACATTTCACGAGAGCATCAAGTTGCCTAGAAAAAGTAGAGAGAGCTAATCCAAAAATGTAGGCGCCCGAGGAGGCAAGCGATCCGTCTCGCACCTCAGTAAAGCCCAGCTGGCCCGCAAACGTGCCAATGATCGCGAGGCTCAACGAAACATTCGTCAGCGAACCAAAGAACATATTGAAAACTTGGAGAAGAAAGTCAAAGAGTTGGAGGCAGGCCATCGTGCCAGTAGCATGGAGCGCGTGTTGAAGAGGAACAAGGAACTAGAAAGAGAGGTGGCCCATCTTCAGGCTCAGGTGGCCGCGAAATCATCTTCTGCTCGAGGCTCGATTGGCCCCGAGGATGCTTTGGGATTGGCACGTCCAGGGGAATGGATTCAAGAGACGCCAATGTCGACCGTTTGGCAAGCACATACCCTCGTCACCTCGAGCCCTCAGCAACATGGCTTTCCAGCCACCAATTCCAATCTGTTTGAAAACGAAGAAGTACTAACACCAACATCAAATGGTATTCAAAATGCGAACCCCGTCTGGGAGGACCCCACGGTCTTTGGCAACACTTCCCAAGCACTTGCACAACCAACACCGGCCTGGGCACCCTTCCACCCCGCTTTCAACCAACCCTCTCGATTTGCAGACCTTCAGCCTTCAGGCTTCACGGAAATCGTCAATCAACCCACCTATCAAAATACCACGTGCTGGCAATCACAACCATCTGTATATGCGTGGCAGATATCGACAAAACTAAAGGCACCAGTTACATTGGTCGATCAACTGATGTTTAGCGTTATTCACTCACAACGTCACCTCGCTCTGCATTCCGAAGCTACTGGGGATGACCTCCTTGGCCCTTCCTTTCCCCCGGTGCATATTATTTTCAACCACCAAGCCCCAATCACTTCTTCCAAGCCGCCATCCAACATTACCGAAGTCATGAGCCGCTATTCCGAAGTATTGTCCAAGCGCGGCTTTGCCCTGATACCCGAGAAACTCGCTTCGTTTATGTGCATGTACCGATTCGTTCAATGGCAGATTTCACCCACTTACCAAACTTACCAAAAATTACATGATTGGCAAGCACCACGACCTGCGCAACTCGCTATTCCTCATCCAGCTTGGATGGATCTTCCTCCATGGGGAAAGGTCCGTGAAATGATGATTGAGAACCAAGAGCGATACGACAATCCCGAATTTCAAAACGATTATGCTTCCAATCTATCTGTCAACTTCCCACACGACCCCATGAAGGCGCTCATATTTGAAGATGGTCAAATTATGGTCAGTCCTTTGATGGAAAGACATCTCAGTGACATCAATAACATGAGCATGAAGAAGCCTTTCGCTGACAAATATCCGGAATTTCGCGATGCTTGTCGATTTGAGGAGGTATAAATTCACAAGGCGCCATGACGAATTTCATTTTTTTCCGCGACTCCGGATCCAAAATAAAGAATGAATTGTTGTATTTTTGTTTGTATTCATTGGGTGGTGTGGGGCTGGAGTATCAATGGAGGCGGTATCTTGTTTTGTATAATGTCTTTTTTTCCCAATCGCGACTTTCTTTGTTTTCCAATTTCCATTTGCATGGTGGAGTATTTTTTTGAGAATAGACATTTTCAGGTGTCGGTCTACTGAGACAATATTCCCCCTTGCATCAATATTCGGGCGCTGGTTTTTTCTCGATGTTATATATTTTGGAGATATCCCCGGGCGCTAGGTGAACTTTTTACTTTTGAGGAGATGGAAAATTTTACATTTTTGTTTAATCTTGCGTACTTGCGTACTTGGTCGTTCACTTTTCTATATCACTCCATATCTCCGGATGGATGTGAAATGAGATGAGATGAGATGAGAAACAGCTTTTCCATTAGCGAGCGTTAGGTTTCTAGTTTTATTAGCTAGGTAGTTTTGAATGGACTTGTTATAGTAAACCGTCTTACTTTTTCCTCTGTGAATTTTTTTTTTTTTTGGAGGGGATTCGTTTGTCATGTCATGTCATGTCTGTTTTGGGGGATTCCATAGATACTGTACCGCAGTATAGTATTTTTACCCTATCCTGTTTTTTTTGTTTTTTTTTGTATTTCGGTAATTCGTCGGTAGACCCTTTTTTTCCTTCCCTCGTCTTTTTTTTCTCTCCCTCGTTTTTTTTTTTTG